CAAAAACGTATTGTGGTCGACTATAGCAAAAAAAGTTTTATAAACAAAATAGCCCATCATTAATATTATATTCAACGTATAAGTTATCATATGTACATATATATATATATATATATTTATGAACAATACATACGCAAAAAATATAATGTACGAATCGCTTTATCTCACTCTTTTACGCCGCCTAAAGTGAATAAATATCAAGATTGCAGATCCAGAGACTTTTCATCATAAAATTAAATTTTAAGTTCAGCTATAGATGATCATGGAAATGTATCGATTAACGCATACTTAGATGAGTACATATGATGCGTGTTTCCTTCTTCACCTGGCGGGCGTTTTTTTATATCTGAAATTGAAATTGCCCACAAAAATGAGGATGTGAGCCTGTATAGCCATGTTGCAATCATTAACATAAAATAGAACTAGTACAATTCACTTAAAATTTTTGTATCGTATATCTTATATAAAGAAAAGTAAACTTATTCACGATGTCATTAAATAACTGAAAATACCAATCCCAACAATTTGGAAACTTCCGGATGGATGTTTTTAGCTTGATAATTTCTTCTGGATTTCTAAACATACAAAATACATTACAAGTTGTGTTGAAGCGACCAAGTTTAGGTCGGGTTGCATCGTTATGTAAAAGTCTATTCATTCAAATTCGATACAAAATGTTACAAATTGGATGAAGCAATATATTGCAGGAACCTATGGATGGAGAACATCGTAGTCCAGCTCTAGTTTACGATACGGTTGGGGTAGAATATTCATATTCCAAATATGAATATCCACGTGAATCCGCGTAGTAGTTAAACAAGAGAGCAATACAGAAATAAGTGAAAATTTTCCGCTGAAGTGCCTCATTGCATACTGTATGATGAATGTTTATGAAATTATGCAAAAAATACTTGAATTATTTATTCAAATTATAATTATCATCAGTATCCGTTTGCAGTTCCTGGTTGGGTTTCTTGCTTTACACAGCACACTATAAAATGTATCATTTTTACACATTTTATTTCCATAGAAGTGTTTGTTTTATTAGAGAAGTCTAACAAATAGAGTTTCTTCAACAAATAACCTTAATAAATTATCATGAATGCAGTAGTAATAGTCAACCGTGGCCATGGAAAACGTCCCATGGGACAGCACACATTTTATTTATGATAGCAAATTTGATTACGTCAGCACTACACTTGGTTTTATCTATTATTTGATTCGTGGTGAGACACCGGATAAATAAATAAATACACATGGCCTTTTTTTATTTTTAGATTAGTTACCAGACTGGTTCATGAGATGGAACGGGCATAAATCGCCATGAGATGATTTATGAAAAAAAAAAATGTCCCATGGACAAGCCCATGGTAATAGGTAATGCAGAATTTAATGCCTAATGTCAATGTATTCAGTTTACAAAAATTTCCATACCTTTGAATATGGTCATGTTTATCTTTGTCAGCGCTTCTCTCCACATTTCTTCATTATTCGTTTGTTCTTGGTATAGCTATTGCAGGAATACACAATACACATACATTAACAATGCAATTGAAAAACGTACGTAACTAAAAGTAGTCGTTGCTCGACCAATTAGAAGTGACCCCAAACCCGAATGTTCTGGACATTCGTTAAATAAAGTCGTGACGCATTTATAAATGAATGTTTGATGCGCTAAAAGCAATTTTTGGAGCAGAAACTCTGTAATATGCTGTAGTTCAATTTGTTCAGATCGTATACACTGTACTATACAGAATAGTTTGAACTAAAATTTAACACCAAGGCTTATTTCCAAGAAGCGACCTCCGACGCATTACACAAAAATGGATTCTAGAGAATAAAATGACTTCAGCGATTGCAGTTTACCTTCCAACTTAGATAAAATGCTGTAGATGATATGCCAGAGATAACAAAGAAGCCAATTGTTATGAAAATCCATCTCCATTTTGTCGTATGTGCAATTTTCGTTTCATCTGGTCTCTTATTCAGAGGAGGTGCTATAATAAAATATTCGTCAATACATTCTCGCTTTTAGTCAGCCATTTTCACCCGGGAAATTTGCTAATAATATAGCAGGGCATCGATATAACATATCCACAATAATAAATACATTTTATTTTTCAATAAGATAAATGCAATGCTAAAAGCGGTATTTGCATGATCATCGCAAATTTCAGTTTGGGTTTGTGTCTGAGGAAGTGTGAAGTAAACTTTATTATATAGAGATTACTTGCCTTTTCCTCCCAGTTTTATTGCGCCTAACATTCTGTAACCATATATTCATAAAGTAGTTTCATGCATATATTAGGTTACAAAATCACAGCGGTAATTATTAATAATATGTATGAAGCAAGAAAGCAAATACGAAAAATACCTGATAATCCACCATCTCCAATTGTACGAAACTCAACTCCATCAATGTTTTCGTATTCATTCATGTTTGCAACTGCAATCAATTTTTGTATGTAGATATTTAGCTTTTATAGATATTATATAAGCTTACGATGCATCAATGTGGGTATTTCAATATTACAACCAAAACATTTCGAAATAAAGTTCGTGGGCAACAGCGCCAAACTATTTGTTGGAACAACAAAACGTTGGAAATTTTCATTGATATGTTGAACAAATATAGATTTGTAAGATATTACTAATCAAATAACACATTAAATATATACTTCATACCAATTTAATGTTTGAACAAGAGTATACAAGATTTTACAGCAACATAGTCATGTGTTTTCTACGATTAATTCGACAAAGATTTAAAGAATGCGTGTTGGAATGCAATATGGAATTTCTGATAAAATTATAGCGTATCTGAAAACAATTACATAATGTACAATATTGAATGTAGAACAGATGTAGGCATATCAAATAAGCGCTTCACATAAAAAAAAAAAAATACACTTAATCAATTCAGATTTATTCATTGGTTATTGATTTACCGAAAACGCGACCTACAAGACTTTAATTTCCAAAATTTTGACTAAAATAAAATAATATTTAGAGAAGTGCCACAAAATATTTTCCAGTAGGCGGATTATGATTGTTTTAGGTCTTCTTGCCTACACTGCCGCTTCAGTGTTCTATTTTTTTTATATATATATTCCACGTCAAGCTTACAAGTCAGATGAACCATTACCCCGAAGGAGTTTTGTTCGCTGTATTTGCTTTGATGGCATTTTCATATGAGCACGCAATGTATTGATCTTTTAATAACATTGCATTCCCATGTTTTCCGCCATTTTAAAAATTGATATTGATACACAACCATAAACACATTTCTCCCATGTATTCATAATCATGATTAATTGTATTTAGGTATGTACAATATAAAACATAATTTTAGAAAATTTACATGGTTTATTAAATACCAGCATGGGTGTCTGATAAAATCTCATGCTGAACATAAAAGCACTCAACCATATTCTATTTTTACGATATGTTTGTGGGCAGGTTGCACGCGACGACGTGCATGTTAAAAGTGGTAAGGTTATTCATAGACAATAAAAAGAGCAGCTTGTTTAGCAAAACCTGTCGCTAATATCCTATAATTAGGAATAATATTATCTACTAATTGATGGTTATTTGATTCATTATTTACACGTGGACATGAGGATATATGGCAGTAATTAACAGGAATAAATTTTACGGGATATAAAGTTACAACTTTGCTGTTGGTGGTATCGCATTCTAATAGATTTGTGTTCGCAATCGTAATTTCAAGTTTAAATTTCACTAAAATTCAATTTGTGAATGCGAAGTAATGTCTTATCTCAAAATATTCAATGTTATGCGGGTTAGTCTTGTTTGCATTGAGGAATCATTATAGTATTCAAATTTATTTCAATTATTTGTATAACATTTGCAAAGTGCAATTATTCTCGAAATGAAAAAACATACACCGATGTACCAGCGATTTGTCTGGGTGATAAATACAACTTTACTCGTTTTTTTGAAATCGTTTGAATAATCACCATTTACTATTATTCATTTACTATTTACTTGGAATCATTGCTGTCTTTCTCAGTATTATTCTTTCATGTTGCTAACAGCAATTTTTTAATAATGGAGTGTACTTGTTGAATAAATATGGTTTCCAGAATTATAATATTTTTTGACATTTCACAACATTTCCGTTTTCACAGTTTCTTCCAATAATCCTTATCGATTAGGTGTGGTCTCAAAATCACCATATATGAAAAACCGTTCCATGAATGACTACTAGTTTCATTGCATTACACTTTATTAATAAACAATATATACAGCTAAAAGTTGATTGATAAAAACACGCAAGATCACAGTGGCATAGACAAAAATATCTTGAAATATATATTCTATTGTGTAAGTCGTAGTTAGAAATTGAAACGAATTTAGAAATTATTCTTTCACCTCTTTCATCAAACAATATCGATATTAAAGGACATGAAATTGGACTGAAATATGTAATACTGGAAAACCAAGTTTGTAATACTGACACATACATAAACGTATTGAGTTCATAAACACTATGATATATTACACATTCCCTCGATTTAAAATGTTTCGAGAGATTCAATAAAAATGCCTGTTGCGAGCAGGTTTCTACTAACAACATTTTTACTCGCATTAACCTTTGCGAGCCTGTCGAATCCATGCGGACCCACTCTTCTGCAAGCTCCCGTCAAACCCTGTCGTATTTGACGGTTAAATTGGGAGTGCAATGAGAACTTTATAAATGGGCTAATTTTGTGGATGGTTATAGAATAGTGGTGTCAATTCACTACAAATCATACATGAAAGATATCAAACATTAACTAATATTTAAATTTGCGATTTGTTTATCAGTTTATGGGTGAAAATTTATTGCACTTAACAAAAATGTTGCACGTATCCCATTCATTATATTTGAAATGCATTTAAAAAGTATGTTTTTAGGCCAACATTATTTATAACTATAACTATAAATAAATAAATATTTTGAATCCAGTGTTTAACAACGAAAGATGTCATCTATTTTAAGATGGTGATATTGGGAATTTTCCAATAGTTGAGTTACAGGATGCCCACCTATCTGGAAAAACATCGTGATATAGATTGGTTAACACGGTTGCAGTGCCTCTGGGGTTTCTTTGAGATATCAATGCGGAAATTGAATAATGACCAGTTTTCATATCGGTGCAGAGTATTGGCTGTCCGCTCTGTCCCTGGAAATATGAAACAATTTTGATTTACTTTACTTGGTATTAAGACTTCATCTTTCAGTCTTGGAGCCAAATATAGCATGATGGCAATGTGGACATAATTGTATTTAATGAAAAACCAACCGACACTGCCCAAACTAAATATAATTGTTGTTTGTACCGCACGTTGCTCAAAAGTAAATTGCATTGCATTTTGGTATTCAATATATATTGTCATGTTAGCTGGGGATATCTTCAATGTCGTTTCTGTGAAAGCGCATAATTTGATTCTTTCAAAGAGAAATACTTGACGATCTCCAACGTGATTTAACTGCGTCGAATATGTTTTTGTTTTATTATTTGTTTTTCATTATGTGAATTTTATCGTGTCTATCAGACATAATGAAAGGTGCAAGTTCCTGAAAACTTATACACAGCAAGATGAAAGCCATAAGTCAGTGATTTGTATATCTGGTTTATATTTCTAGACGAAATTGTATATTGAATCATGACCATAATCTGTTATTGACATACCATATAATACCACAATCCATTTGCTCTTATAATTGTAATCTTTATCTATATATTGACGGTTTTAGGTAAGATGAGCGGGTGTGGATGAAGAGTGAACTCATAATATTGTTTCAACCAGGAACAGCCAACGTGCTATCAAGCGCATTGGGCGAACAGCCTAAGCCCTAATGCAAAAACTTTTTCCGAGACTGCAGTTTTTTACATGTACGTGCTTAAAAAGTAGGGCGGGCAATAAGCTTTTTGGCTAGGATAAAATGCCACAACATTTCTATTGTAGGAAATTTATAATTGGTGCAAAGTAATTTTTACACTCAAGACCGAATTCTGGCAAAAGTACATTTATTCAAAATTAGGTTTTTGAAGAAGTACGCTTTCGCAAAGTAAAACCCTCACAAAATTACATTCTCGAAAAATGTCAAACTATATTTTCGTGAAAGTCAATACTTGCAAAATTTCATGGAGAGCTCCCGCTAAGTAAACCTAACTTTATTTGAGTGTTCCATTAGATTAGGCAATAGGTGAGCATTTCGCTGTTTAGTAGTGGTTGCAATTGTAGTAATGGTGCAATTGTAGGTAAGACATGAAAAAGAGTATTATATTTTTCATTTTATCATCCGACAAGGGCAATTCATGACAACTGGTGAAAGGCCGCGATATAAAACGATATAAGTTTTGCCTGCGCTTCTAATGTCTGCACACACGTCAACGAGTCGACGAATATAAATAGAACAAGTCACAAAGTAAATATACAAATGGATACCATTTGCTAAAACTGATATCGTTTGCTTCTCGTCAACTGGCTGAAACCTCACGATATAATTCACTTCTATTGAAACTCGTTTTGAAATTCAAATACGTATTTTCTGGTGTGTTGGAAGTAACTTCTGGAACTTCTATGGGCTGATTCATTTTTGAATAAATTATTCGTATTTAACAGAACTTGAGTTGACCTTGCTTTGATCACAATTTTGTGAAAAATGTCGAAAGTTACGGAAAATATTTTATGCATTTTAAGAACACCAGAAAAGATTATGTAAGTATGATAATAGACATACTTTCTTAAATTTATTTGTACAAAAGATTGACTTGTTTATGTCGGAACTCTTTGTTTGTTTATCGCGATAAATTCCGCATTTGATTGACATTATCAAACGGGTTGACCGGCGTTACAATGTGTTTTCAATTTCGATGTAAATTTAGCGCCCAATTATGGCGGTATTGAAACAATAATTGATGTATCTTCACTTATATTGAATGAAGATTGACATTTACCGCTATTTGATTGACATAAAATCATCTATTACATTTTTATGAATGCATATACGGCAGTTTTTTTGTGATTAATGTTGATACTTTCGAAAAATTTTAAATGGGTTTTGGAAATTATGTATGAGTGTTCAGAAAGTCGTAGAGTAGAATTGACATGAAATCTTCATATAAAACGTATATTTGGACTAAGCGAAAAAATTATAAACATGAAAATATGACAAGTCCACTTTTTTGTTATATATATAATATACGTGTACACTTCCAAGTTCACTAATTTAGTGTTTCAAGATAATTCAACTCAAGACATTTCTCTCTCAGACAGCTCAACCGTGGAAATTTTTCTTCGTGAAATGTTTCACTCTGACAAAATTAATCTTTGATCCCATCCACTATTGAGGTGATTTCCTGATTGATTATTTAATGTCATATTTCTCGTTTCTGAATTTTTTGAGTACAATTTCCGGTGAGTGGGTTTCATTTAGACACCAATTTCAGTTCCAAGGCTTTGTCACGCAATAATTCAATTTTCCAAATCGGCTATGGCTTATGCATTTTATTCATGAATTAGATATAGTTCCCCCTTTCCTTTGAATTGTTTGAACTCAAATAGCAAAACGATAAAGTTCTATTATTGATGTCTATATCATTATCTATTCGTATGAATTATTGGACACGAAATGTTCATACGGATCGTTTTTTTATTATGTTGTTGTTGATCATATTGTTGGTATTTTTCTTTAACATAATCATTTCTATCGCCCTAATGCATATAAACTTCCTATTACTTTTTTATATCTTTAAACGACGGTTGATGGAGTGTCATTCGTATTCTCAACTAACCCAGATTCTTCTATTCAGTATAGATCTATTTTATCATGTATTTCAATTACCATGATTTAGTTTAGGGTGGGTGAAAAAGGTTAGCTGTTATTTCAAGATTGCGTTGACTGAAAACCGCCATACTCATGTTACAAATCTTACCTCCGCCATTGTTTTATTTGTACACAAATGAAATTTTCTGTGATGCGGTCGATGGCCTTCCCTGCAGGGAGTAACAACAATCTTTGTGAGATGTAGTTGTGTTTGATCTGAAGTCGGCAATCCTGTTTTATTTTGACAATATTGTCAGCATGGAGTAAAAGTTCAATACAAAAGTATTTTAAACTAAAAAAAACTAAGCTGTACTTTTACAACATTTTCGAATATATTTTTTCATTGCTGGATTGCTAAAGATTCTTATTTTCATTTTACAATAGATTTATTACCTGATTTTGTTTCGTCTATTGCCCAGCACACATGACTCTTAGTAGGAACAGGATAACTGGTTTTCAAACAACGAGTAAAACCGCATGATAATGGTGATTCGAGTTCCACAACTGCAATGTCGAATCTTATAAGTGTATTAAAACGAAATTTAATATGTCTAATGTATAACTAACATTGCTAACAAAGCAAATATTAAAAAGAAGAAACCAAAAAAAAAAACGCTTGATTCAATTTGGATATACATAAAAAAAGATATGTGAACCAAGATGGAGGACACCGGAACGTAGTATGTGTATCAGGTTAGGGTTAGGCCATAATTTTATTCCAATTTTTCTTATTTTTTATTATATTTTAGTTAAATTACGAGTTCTGGGACTAGCCAAGTCACTCCCGTAGTATTTGAACCTGAAATCATGGCCTAACCGTAACCTGGTACACATGCTACGTTCCTGTGTCCGCCATCTTGGCTCACATACTTCGGGAGTACCCCCAAAAATACACATTTCATAATGTGACATCTTCTGTACTTAAACTTGTAACAAACATTCTTTTCATTGTAGTATAAATTGTTATTGGATATTTTTCAGAGATAAGAGTCCCTTGGACGGACATAGACTTTGAAATTCAGTATTGTAAGTTTCATATTGCTTTATTTTTAATATTGTACGGTTGTTACTCCTGAAGTATGCGCACCAAGATGTCGCATAACCTGAATCCTAACCTGGTACACAACCTGAGTTCAGGTTGTGCGCCATCGTGGTGCGCATACTTCAGGAGGTCCGTACGGTTTTTATTTATTTTTGTCTTCGTAAGATTATTATTAAATAAACTCAATAAATGTATAGGCCTAATATCCTGAAATGAAAACTTGTTTTATTTGTCGGTTGGTGTATAAATTCTTTCATTTGTGAGTTTGTGTGAATTCTTCTTTGAAAAAGTAACTCCATATAATTACATTTTGTATAAATTTGTGTCATGTAGCAAGGTTTTGTCTTATCACTTTTACTATCCGACAAAATAGGCGAAATACTCAAAAATAGATTAATGGATAAAACAAATCCGTTTTGCAATAAAAAATAGGAAACGATTGTTTGTTTGATCTACGATACCTATAAAAACTCTTTACCATGTTGTTTTTCAATTATATTTATTTAATACCACAAAAAAATATTTGAAAATAACGAAACCGGTGTTTTTTCAGAAAATACTTTTATTCGGCACACCTTTTCCGGTGTAAAATGTACGTAAATATTCAATGTATCTTGTGCATTCTTATCTAGAAAATGTGAAATAAATTGAGCTATTTAGAGTAAGCGCTTTCTTACCTGTAAAAGTCTGCATTTCCTCTTTCGCGGTGATAATTTTTATGCCATTTCACATTTTTTATATTATACTTCTTTCCATTTGAACTTCTGACGTCGTAATTTTCCAGCATTTTGCTATGATTGACGAAAGAAGTTTTGATATAAGACGAGTCATAGTCAATTAAAGTATTTGAAATACTGTTCGTTTTGCTTTTGTTATTTAGAAAATTGGATTTGTCTGAATGGTTCTATTTGTATGGTGATGCGATGTTACATGAAGCTTTCCAATATATTGTCTCTCTCTTCCATATACATATTTAGTTTTTTTTGCAATAAGAAATATTTCAATTAAATGACACCATGTACAGCGATATAGATTACACTATTATTGGTAGTTGCAACATTATCTATAAATATTACACCAAATATTTATGAACATAAAACAATAATGCTTATTTTATATTTTCATTTAAATTTTTATTTATGCAAAAAATAAAAGAAATAGTAACCTGATTTACTTACCACGGCCTGGGTGTGGGTTTATGGTTGGATTGTCTTGGATTGCGAATAAAACAGTGAGCTGTTGTTAGAATTTTGTTAGAATCAATAGCGATCCCACCGCATTTTCGTCTGCCATGTTGTTCAATCGTCACTATCCAAGGTAAATTTGTTGAAGGGACAACATAATCATCTAAAAAACAGAAGTTCTTTGCCTCATTATCAGGTCTTGACTATGATTTCGAAAATAGTCGTTTTTATTATCATTTTTTTATTATCCTTTTTCTTTTACACGCTTTTCCGAATTTGAATACGTCGACAAATAGCCTGTTCAAATAGCCTGTAGCATAATAATAAATTCCAATAACATAATAATATCGCGAACGAAAATTGCATTACGAGTTTGGGAAAATCATCAAATTAATAAAACCAGTTATTTTTTTATTTCGAATTTTTTTTAAAGTTGATACAAAATTTGATTTGTATTGATAAACTCACCTACATTCATGCCAAGATCTGATATTCCTCTCAATTTACAAGTTGTATCATTTGTTAATCTGAAATGTGTAAAATATGCCATGACAACTCACCCCAAGTTGCTCCTCAAGTTGAGTCAAAAAAAACGGTACCCATGAATTTGTTAATAACTTCTACAGAAATTAAAAATTCATTAAATTTTGTTTATACTCCAACTTCTGTTTGGGCATGATTCGGAACATTTTCTATCGAAAACCCCAATTTTGTGCAAAACGTCCTAGATTCCTGAAATTTTTGGGTACAATCATACACAAACAGAAGTATAAACAAAATCAAATAATTTACTCCAATTTCACGGAGATAATCAGGAACTTCATGAATTCCGTTTTTTTGAGTGACCCTGTGACTAGTACACTGAAAAATTTTTCAATTGTTAGAAACCATCATAATATATAACCTGACACTTTGATTTTCCGTTGCGATTACGACATCATGACTATAAACTTATGAAATTTACAGCTTGATAGTTTATCTTAATTAAAACTTATACATGCGAGTGTTTTCGAACCCAGTCAAACCTTTATAGAAAGACAATGATAGAGAACAATTTATTCTATTTATAACTAATAAAGTACCGGATTAAGCCGAACCAGAAAAATATAGGCATTATTATATCGTGTGGTATATATTGATAATATAAATTCCTTAAAATACCCACCCCTGACAACATGAGATAAAATAAATAGTCAACCACTGAATAAGATGACTAATCTCTGTAATTAAACCAACTTTGTATTCTTGGTAGATCTTTTTCGATCTACTAGTACTCACTAATATGATAATCATCATTCGCTTTAAATTGTATTCTGTATATAATTAGGAGTTTCTCTTGTGGTATGTTTCATATTATTCTGCATAAATATTTATTAAAAAATATACAATGTATTTTTATGTACCTGATTCGCGACAGCCATCTCAGCAGATCTGTTGAAATATTTGAAAATATTATTTTTGAAATAACTTATAAATCGTGTAAAGTTTCACAAATGATATTTTTGTATAGTATAGGGAGAAAGGCACCACATCTAAGTTAATTAGAAGTTAAAATCATTCTGTGACAATCGAAAACTGACCGCTGATCCGCTTCCGATTGGATTAGTTAGCAAATTCAACACTTTCGGATTATGATGTAATAATTTTACCATCGAAAGGTTATTATTTCAGATTAATATTGCCACCAATACTGATTAAGTGGAGACATTTATTTGACATTATATTCAAACGAATATTTCGATTTCCTCTTCTGGGATCAGACGCAAAATACCAAGTTCAAATGTTGTTCAAATTTAATCGTGGGTTAATGCATATACGCATAGGCTGAAGTCAAAAAAATAGGTTTATCAGGGTCTTTAATACATGGAACTGGACACAACACAAAGAAAATACTTTATCAGTAGTAGAGGTCGTCTAATTGCATCAAAACAAAATGAAAACTATTTTGAGAAATTTGCAGGCTTGTCCACGAGACATATTTTTCTGTCCCATTCCCATCCCATAGCAATTATGCCTGTCCCATTCCATTCCATGGGATTCCCGATGGAATAAAATTCAATAAAATTTGTAAAATTTAGGTTTAGCGTCTACTAAATAGGACTACATGTACGAATAGACATGCAAAACAATAACATTTACGGACTTTGTTAACTTCATATTCATAACTATTATACATGTGTCCATCAGCCCCTTCACGAAGTATATTGTTAAGGCTGAATATATTTCATAACAAACAAGAGAGCTATTCTCAAATATATGTACACGAAGTCCATAATGAAATATTTTACCATTATTTTCCTGAAAATCATACGGTTTCGGGTCCCACGTGTCCCATGGGAAATACAAATGTGTGCTATCCCATCCCATGGGACGTTTTCCATGAGAATCCCATTCCCATGGACAAGCCTGAAAATTTGTATTCATTCGACGTATTTAATAAGGAACAGTTCAAAAATCTCTCGTCTGCAGACATATCAGCAAGCACTTTCAATATTATGCGCTAAAACACGCTGTATAATAATAAACAATTTACCAAAATCGTGCAGTATCAGCATTATGCACATTATATGTAAATAGTTTTACTTTCAATAATACAAGGAAGAACTTTGATCTACAGCTGGATATTATTAAAATATTGATAAACATTGTTTGATGCTATAAATTATCAAATTTCTTATCAATGTACCGTACCGACCTTCAGTTGGTTCTCGAACTAGTTTAGTGGCGTTCACAAATTGCGCAGACGGGAGATTTATTCTGTAAAAATTATAGATTTCGTTGAAAACTATTGATAAAAATCGAAATGTTAGGATAAAAATTCTAACATATATATTTTAACCTTGAGTGAACGTGAAAACATAAAAACAATCAAATTCATGGAGCTTTTATTTACCTTGATATAGATATTATCAATATTACTAGACACCAACTTGAACCCATTGCATAAACTAAAACTGCATAAAAGGTAAACAAAATTTCATATTAAAAAATGTTTCCTCATCCATCATTCGGGATACCCGAAGTATATGCCCCAAGATGGCGGACACCGGAATGCAGTACTTTTTACCAGGTTAGGGTTAGGAAATAATTTTATTATTATTTCAATTTCATTACGAGTTGGTGAACTAGCCAAGTGACTCCCGTAGTATTTGTACCTGAAATTATGGCCTAATCCTAACCTGGTACGCATACTACGTTCCGGTGTCCGCCATCTTGGTTCACATACTTCGGGAGTATCCTTCATTCTTTTAGTTTTCTAGTTTAATTTATTGTTTAACATTCCAAAAGCAAAAGATATTTATCTGTTTTGATGTAGCATGTGCATGTGGAACCTTATATAACCTATTAGAAGGATACTTGCGTATATTAGGCGCAAGATTCAATATCAATATAGTTATCAGTAAAACAAACGCAACGTATCAGTGTTACGTCATACCGTTTTGTTCTTGTACCAAAAACAAACTTTCAAGAAATACAGAAAGAACTATTCAATTTGATATAACCATTTGATAGTGAAATGTAGACCATAGTAATAATAAAAGACTATTCGACTAATTATCTTGGTATTGTCTCAAACAGATTTACCAAACGTTCACATTCCTTTATATTATTTACATTGTTACATATTCATTTACACTTTGCACATAGATTATCGGTAGCGTATCCCTTTTCTCACTTAAGTTTTCAGCTGAAATATTCGTATAGCTTTGACTGAGTCGTGAAAAATACTTCTGAAATTTTTAAGCTCAACCTTCTATTTTTGAATAATCGACATATATCTCGTGTCATACTCTAAATTAGTAGTAGTCTCTTCCAAACATCGCGCCTGTGAAGAATATACGGCTTCGATTTCAGTTTGATATCTTGCAACGAATGAACTCTAATTTATATGTGAATTCTAACCGCAAAAATGATTGTGTCGTCTCTCGAAATTATCATCACCTGATATCAAAGCGGTCAACCTATAGTTGACCTCTCTCATATTATCTTCCAATACGATTTTTAATTTAAACAAAATCTTGATGTCTATTAAATTCCTAAGCAATATTTACATCAATAATTTTGATTGGTCGATTGACAAAATTATGAAAGGCGTGCCAAATTTAAGTACAATAAATTTGAAATGCATGCAACAAAATTGAATCTATGGCGAGAGTTCTAAATACTTGGAGCCAGTGGTGGGTTTCAGCCGCGGTTCGCACCGGTTCTATAGAACCGTCTCACGGAATTTTATGAGATAAGCGAACCAGTTAGCATTACTTTTTCTGTCAATGTTCTGTTTGTAACAAAACCGGCTGAAAAATATGACTTTTGTGATAGAACCGGCTGACAAAAATTTAAATCCCACCACTGCTTGGAGGTGAAGTTTATGTAATAGTTAGCGCTATTGGACACGAGTGAACCTATAGATCGTTTAGTTATTATATTTTTTGTTGTTGTTAATATTCTTTTTTTCTTGTTGTTGTTATTGCCTTTTACCTCAAAGTACTGGACTAATTGCTTAGAAAGTTTTAGTGGTTGGTGATTGATTTTGCCGTTAGAAGGTTTTTGCTTTTTTTATCTCAAAAATTTCGCTGGTTACCATGTAATCGTTTTTCGCTGTGAATTTTTGTGCAATGTCGTCATCAAAATAAAAATTTGCGCACCTTGTGGCTGTTCCGTGTTTGTTGCGATCTGGTGGTCAGTAAAAGTAGGGAAGACAACGGCACCAGTACTGTAAAATATTTGATGATCGTACTACTTCGTTTTGATCTTCGTGTCCATATATTTGAGCATTGTTATATAGATCAAAGTAGACGAGTTTACATTTTTCAAGGTGGATGATAAATTATATTGACTTACTTGGCATTTGGTCTTAACAATGAATTCGTGATTATCTTGTTATTTCTAGAGTGCAATTCCGGAAAAATATTTATCATCATAAGTGATTACGACAATCACGTTTTTCACAAGCAAGTTTTTTTAACCATTAATCATATTTGGTAGGTTTGAGTAAATATAATGGGTAGTAGGTTTTAAATAGATTTGGGACCGAAAACTGGAAGAAGGAAATTTATTACATTAAAATCCAGTTTTGATAAAGTCAATGCGATGAAGTTCCAGGAATTACCGAAGTTCCGTAGAATTTCGTTTTCAAAATCAACGTAACTTTTAGGTGTTACTAATATAACATATATATTTAATTCTGACGCAAAAAATGTAAACAAACAAGTACGAGTGAGTCATTCGCATGCTGATATACCGTGACGAAACGAGTAAATATAACAGACGAAACAAAATTACGCTCGACAAACTGCACGAATCACATTCGTTGAAAGAATTATGTGGTTTTACGAACAAAATTAAATAATTTAACTACTGTATTATATCAAGTCGAAAATCGCAAACCTTAAATGAAATGTTTCATCTCGTATTCTTCCATCATTATAAATAACCTGAGTTTAAAATAACTATTTAATGACTATCGATTTTAGTTGTACTCTGTTGAGAAGTAAACATAATTTTTACTGGGTGTATTTGTATAGTTTTCACGAAGACTCATAACGCTTTGAATAAATTGTTCAGAACTATGTTTGTCGTTTAAATTTAAAAAATACTTTTGTTTTGAATTGCGGTCGTGCTAAACTAAATTTTAAAATTGCTTCCCGAGAAATATCGTGGTATTTTCGATATCTTTTCTCGTGTTTGGTTTTGTAATGTCACTTATAATTATATTCTTTCGTGATGGATATTACATGAAAACACACCAGACGTTATGGTTTAACCTTGTTGTGGGTAAGGAAATGCGTTTCCTCTCAGTTTACTTAGTATAAGTATAAGTTTATTTCGACTCAATAATCAGCAATAGACGATAAAGTAATAGATAAAAGAAAAATGAAAAAATAACTGGTTATAGAATTGGGAGAGCAAACAAAACCTCAAGGAAGGTTTGAAGCGTACAGATTTTAGATGGAAAGGTATTGATAAAAGAAATAGTACGTGTTCGCTCAATCAAAAGTATAAAAACTAATTAAGGCACGCACGCGCGCTCACACACATACAATCATCGAGACATGATAAGGTCGGAGGAGAAAAAAAGGAGACTTAAAATCAATTAAATTACTCAGTGAGAAGAAAAATATACAAACAAATAAAATAAAAAATTGAAAAACTCAAATTCATCACGGATGATTCATCAGTTTGCAAGTTTTGTTGATGTTTACACCTTTTATGTTGAGTTAGCTAGCTTTTAAATTAATCATCATGACGTCCTGAAAAACGAAAAATATATATATATATCTGCGAATACAATATTCAATGATTGCAAATAAGGAATCAATAAAAAACTACCCCCCACATTTGAGTGGAAGTTGTTGATTTGTGTAAATATTGATCAATATTATTTAACTATCATTTGACTGCTATAGTCGAAAGACCTGCGGAAGAGGAGTTTGTGGTTGGGACACAAGCGAAATTGTTCACAAACCATGCAAAAACGTTTCGATGTCGGTCAAACCACACTCATGTTGGCCATTATTTTAATCATTAACATCACACTAACCATCACACATTTTCATGCTTTACTCTACACCAAGGGTGTCAAACTTGCACTCCGCGGGCCGCATGCGGCACCAGAGCACCTCCAATGCAGCACTCGAATAATTGTAAGAGAATATTCGCTTAAAAATATTTGAAAATTTTGTAAGTTATTTTTTATCCGAATGTAATACATTTTTCAACCTTTCAAAGTGAAATCGGTTATTCACACAGAAAACGACAATCTACTGAATGAAATTAGTTTTGGAAAATTAAAATTTTTTTGTTTGCAATTTGACCCAACTATAGATACACCCAGTGATGGGATTCAGCCGGTTCGCACCGGTTCTATGGAACCTTCTCAAGGAATTTTATGAGATCAGCGGACCGGTTAGCTTTACTGATTAATGTCAATGTTCTGTTTGTAACAAAACCGGCTGAAAATATGACTTTTGTGATGGAACCGGCTGACAAAAAAATTTGAATCCCACCACTGAATAAAACTCAAGCTGGCAAAAGAATCCTTGAAAAAAAAATTTCAGGATTAAATAGAACGCAAAATACATGAAGAAGGAGGCATTTTTGAACAAAAAAAATGGGAGTTGCAATATTTCAACATTTCTCAAAATTCTAAAGCACATTGTTTAATTTGTCACATTTTCATCAGTACAATGAAAGAATACAATATAAGTAGACATTATCAGAATAAGCTCAGCAGTCAATATGACTACTTCAAAGATCAACCTCGAACAAATATTTTTATGTGTTTGTATATTATTATATGTGTTTGTATATTATCATAATTATAAGACTACCTAGTTACTAAAAAACCAATATCAATCATAACTCAAGCGGTCCTATGCCACGTAATTGTAGAAAATGTGGCGAGAAATGTCTGGTCCGAAAAGTCAGTTATTTGTTTGTTTACTGATTTATACATGAAATGATAAACACAATGATTTTGCATTACTGAAATAAATCAAACATTCTCAACGATCCAGATTAACCGATGATCACGTGACATCGTCAATTAGAGTTGCTACTGTAAAATCATTTCAGCCTGATATTAGTAAGCTGGTGACACAAAAGAAATGCCAAACGTCAGGACATATGTGATAAAAAAAAATTGATTTTATTCAGTAATATTTTAGGTCTATATATTTTGATTAAGTCATTGTTAGTGTATGTATTATTCTTTCCTTGTCAAAACTTTTATCAAAAATGTTTTGGATAGTTGTACATAAAAATTTATGATTTTTTGTAATAAATACATTAAATTACATTATAATACAAAAATGAATATGTAAATGGCATTTGAAATTTAGGAAAATACCAAAACTTCATTCGGCTGTTTAATTGCATCACAATATATGTCACAAACTACACCTATCTGAAAACATGCTTATTTTTAAATACATTATCTAAATATATCAAAAACTGTTTTTGGCCGTTTGCAAAACTCCCAA